AAGAAAACTGTTGGGAAAAGTTCACAAAAAGATTGGAAAGAGACCGTTATGGAATATGGAAGCCAGAGAAAAATATCGAGAATGCTGAGAAAAAAACAGGCTAGAAGACATACTAATTAACAAAATCACGACAGAACAGTGGCAAACGCACTTTAAGAATCTATACAAGGAAAAGGAAGAGGAAGAGGACAACAAAGAAGAGACAAAAATCGATCGTGAATAAAACAACGACATATTTAGAATCTACAAATGACACTATTAAAAATACCTTAAACGCCCTTAAAAATAAAAAAAAGCCCCGGACCAGACGAGATCCCTAACGAGTTGCTTGAATCCGAAGGTAAAAAATTACAAAATGAAATACTGACTGATTTTAAAAAATGGACATAATGCACTACCTGAAAACTATCGTGGAATAACGCTACTTGATAGAGCCCTTAAAGCATTCACAAAGACAGTTCTGGGGGATATCACCAAAACCATAAGAATAAGAGAAGAACAACAAGGCGTCCGAAGAATCATATCAACAATAGATGCAATATTCATCGTCAAGCAAATATCGGACAAATCTCTAGAATTCAATAAACCCGCTTACTTGTGTTTCATTAATATGACTAAATCTTTTGACAGAGTGCGCTTAAAAGAGGCCCTGGAAATAATGAGTACCAAAGGGTTAAACCACAACTGCTTAATGTAATACACGACATAAACACCCAATGCAAAGCAAAAATAAGAATAGGACACAGTGCAACGGGAGAGATAAACCTAAACACAGGTAGAATGACTCGGCCTCTTCATATTTAATGTCACAATTGATGAAATAACAGAAAATCTTCCCAAAACGGCTGGATACAAAATGGGAAGTACTTTCTTCCATGACGTATGCTCCGCTGACGACGCGGCTTTTACTACTGATTCCGAAGACAACCTCCAAAGACTACTCCATTCTTTTAGCACCAGCGCTAACGAACTAAATATGCGCATAAGCACCCATAAATGTTTAGTAATTTAAAAGGAACCGATAAGCTGCAAGCTGGAAATCGACTCCAAGATCGTCGAACAAATAAGAGCAAGCAATGAAAGCGGCTCGAATTTCGGGATATTTGAGAGAAATCGTTTGTCTATTGTTTGTTTAAATACAGAAGTCAAGATATATAAAATTACATTAAGACCTATAATAACAGACGCAGCAGAATCAAGAGCAGATCCAAGTAGAACTCTACAAATGATGACAACTATTGAAATGAAGACTTTAAGGAGCATACAAGGCAAAACTCTATACGATGAGTGCGAAATGAGCACATCAGAATAAAATGCTGGATAGAGGCCCTAGAAAGATGGGTGAGATAGAGAGAAAACAAGAAGATTCTGACACAAACATGTCGAAAGAATGGAGGATAACAGACTCGCCAAAAACGCAAAAATGAACAATCCAGTAGAAAGGAGACCCCAGGGAAGACCACCAAAGCGATGGAGAGAATACTGAAGCTCATTCTCCGGGGCGGACGTGTTGGAAATTAACAGGCATTGGCCTACTAATATGTATCCATATTAGAAAGATGAAGACGAAGAAGAAGTAGCTTAAACTTCGAATACACTTCAAAATTAAAAATATATTCTGCTATGATAAAATTTTAGGAAAAATTATATGGGTGATCATACACATCCAAACGGATATTAGTTGCCATAGATGTCAGCGATTCTGGGTATCTGCAGTAATTTTTTTAATGATTTTTCATGCTTTAAGGTGTAAAAATATCAAACATACTATTTATCTTTCTGACAGAAAGTCATGAAATATATGTTGTTTATTCGAAACAACGCGTCCAGTGGCTGTTTGCTGAAGACATCTTGACCATAGTCTGTATCAGTAACAATTGAAACCGGGTTGCTTTGAGGCCAAGTTGAATGCGAAACAGGCACTAACACCAGGCACAGAAAACGATTTCAGGATTTGCTCACATTTTCCTTGATTTGGTACTATTGGGAGTTTGAAGTTTGAGAAAGGACTACAGCTGTTCTGTCCTATCAACTTTTCGAAACAATCAAACTTTCCTTTTAACATGGAGCTGCGATATAAGGTCCAATCAGTCAAGAAGGCATTTAAATAATATTGCAGAGTGTTTATCAAATAACGTGTGATAAACGTAATGTGAGTTTTCATTGGTAAGCATGCATTTTTGTTTTCATTTTAGAGTGTCATATTGCATAGAATTTTATGTGTGCTAAACTTCAAAATTCAGGTTTTTGTAAATATGTCCGTCTTTGAAAATAAAAGAATGAAAAAAGTCAAACACCCTTCCTAAAGAAGCCATCTATGGGTCGTTTTCACTATTCAACTCAGAGCAATATTGGTAAAAGTAAACTTCTCTTGCAAAAATCTCATCAAATGCTTCACAAGTACCACGGGCTTGCAAGAAACGATAAGCTGCATGCCCAAACCTATTTTATGGTAAATGAATTGCCTTTCTAGAGACTAGGCGCCTTAATACGCTGTCATTCTAATTCGTTATCTGCAGTGCAATTTTACTAAGGTGTGGGTGGCACTGCGTGGTTAAATTACATAGAGCATTCCGCAGCGAACAGACTTTTGATTGAAAATTATATCAGCCAAGTCAAAGATTGGATGATCATTAAAAGTGGACGGATCTGATTTATCAGCTGAATGTTGAGACGGAATATAATGGAAATCTTTCGAGCTTAAAAACTGATCAATCCCGATATATATTTGATGTCCCTTAATCTTGTATGCGATTGTTAAACTTATATTGTCTTCATTAACTTTGAAACTTTCATTCAAACTGTTAAACCACACACTATAAATGATTTAAAATTATCATTATAGAACACATGACACTTCTAACAATAATCTAATAGTTAAACACATTAGTTCTTCTAAATTTGACGGCATGGTACCGTATTTGAAGCAAAATTACCGCAAAGCCGAAATTGCTCGTAGTTATAATTTCAAATACGCCATCTCATTAACATGTTCCTGATCATTGGCTTATTTTGCATACATAGCCGTATGATGCAATAAATAATGTATCCGCACAGCATAAACGTGTACATTGCCATACACTTCAAATGTGTATGGGTCGCGCTTTTTATGACCTCAGGTTATTTATATACAAATAAATACATTTCGCAAATTTATAGATAGGGTGATTCAAAACTGGCCTCATTTCTTGTAAGGGGCTATAGGGATACAAATTTTACAAATATCAAAAAAACAGTTTTCGAACATTTCTAGAAGATATTAACAGTTGAAGATCAAATTTTAACTTTGTTATTAAACATTGTTTTGAAATTGTTCCATGTTTAATTGGTAGCATGTTGGAATACTTAAGCATTCAAAAGGAAAAATGATGATCTTTGCATCAAATTACCTACAATTTTTACATTAAAAAAGTTTACTTCTATAACTTTTTGATAAAAAGTCAAAGCGGCAATGATGTTTTTGGTCCTTTACAGATATTTTTTACAGGGTTTTATTAAAGTTTCTGCTTTATTGGTTTCCTAGAAGGTTGTAATCTATGGACTTGTTTTTGAGGCTTTTTATTATTCTAACTTTCTGAGCTTCTGATACCTCCTATGTAAGTGTTTATTCTTTGGCACCCCTTTTCCCAAGCATTGCATTGGTTTTCTTTTCATAAATGTCCTCCTTCTCACTCTCACTCAGGGCTTGTACTTTTTTATATTCTGACAGATCCTCTGTTTCTTTTGAGTTCAGGCTTTGTTGACATTTTTGTTGCTTCTCTTCTATCATTTCGTCAATCCCTCCATCCCACCAATACGGTTTGTTCTTATTGGTCTTTTTGCAGCTTCCTAATGTGTCGTGCGCTGTTTCCGGAATGCATTTCTTGATATCTTCGTAGCAGCTGTTAGTATTAATGATGTGTGTTTTTCCCCCATTTTTCGTCTAATTTCTTTTGGTGTAACAGTTTGACACTTTCCTTCTCGAGGCTTTGCAGAGTGAATCGTCACTCGTCATTTTCTGCCCAAAGTTTCTGATGTTTAATTGTAGTAAATAATGATTACTTCCGCATGTAGTTCCTTTCTGAATTCTTACATCTTCTTTTCGGATTACATCGGATTTTAGGTAATCTTGCATTTTGAAGCCACATACATGTAGTTGTGAATTTCCTTGTATGGATAGAAGTAATTTATGGTTTTTTTTAAATTTTTAATTAATTATTTACTAATTAATTAAGTTAATTTAATTAAGTTGATCGAAAAAGCTTTGCTATGTTGTACTAAAGTGTCACCGTTTAATACGTATACCCCCAGAATTACTATTCTGTATGTATTGTCATATTCACCTTTATCATTCGTTCGCTTACGGGTTAGCACGTAGTGATGTATTTCCGCCACTTTCTATATTAGTACATACACACTTTGTTTGGCCCTTGCTTCCTTAGGACGCCGCTGTAGAAATTATTGTATTTTCCTAGTTCTTACTTTTTCGTTTCAGTGATAACCGCTTATAATCGACTTTTAATGAAGCAAGTTCGTTTAAGCCCTCATTCAATTTCTTAATGAGCCCTTGACCGCTCGACGTAGTAAAAATATTTGTCCTTTGTCGTTGCGTTGGCAGTCACTTAGATCGAGGAAATTGGAAAACAAAATTGCGTCAAAAATCTCACATACTTGAAATGAAAGATAGTTACCACCAAAATAAATTACGTTAGAAGTGCAATCTTTCAGTCTAGCCGACTTTTTGCCTAGCAAAATATACAGTTTGAGATTAATTTAGGCGTATTTCTTAAAATGT